TGGATATCTGCCGCTATCTGGCTCTGGACGAGGCTGATAGGATGATTGACATGGGTTTTGAGGAGGACATCAGGACCATCTTCTCTTACTTTAAGGTACTTTTGTGGAAATCTCATGCTACTGTTTAGGTTATCCAGTAATATAGCAGTTAGTCAGTAAATATAGTAAAATGTTCCCCTCCCTTTTTCAGTGTTTTCTTGAATATGTAGTGGTTTTAGAACTAGAATAATACTGTTTTAGAGGTAATGAATGTTTTTTTTTTTTAATAACCAGAGTGCTTTTTTTGCTCATTATTATGATTTGCTTTAGGGTCAGAGACAAACGCTGCTTTTCAGTGCCACTATGCCCAAGAAGATCCAGAACTTTGCCAAAAGTGCTTTAGTAAAACCCATCACCATTAATGTGGGCAGAGCTGGAGCTGCAAGTTTGGACGTCATCCAGGTAAGACATTAAGATTCATGCGAGGCCCAGCTTTATTCTTTCCTCATGTTCCTTTCGATCCTTTTAGTTGTTTTGTGAGCTTTGCCAAGGTCGATTTTTTTTTTTTTTGAGTGTTGTGAAACACACTACTGTTTTAAAAGTTTGGGGTCAGTAAGATTTTTTTTTTTTTTTTGAGGAAATACATTTTATTCAGCAAAGATGCATTAATTCAAATTCAAATCAAATGCCGTGGCAAAGACATTTATTATGTTACAAAAAATGTATATTTCAAACATGTGCTGTTCTTTTCAACTTTCTATTAAATAAAAATCCTGAAAAATTCATCCCGGTTTTTCCACAAAAATATTAAGCAGCACAACTGTTTTCAACATTGATAATAATAAGAAATGTTTTTGAGCACCAAACCAGCATATTAGAATGTTTCTGGATCATGTGACACTGATGACTGGAGTAAAATCAATTACATTTTAAAATATAACAAAATAGAAAACGTTTATTTTAAATAGTAATAATATTTCACAGTATTACAGTTTTGACTGTGTCTGTGATCAAATAAATGCAGCCTTGTTGAGCATGAGAGACTCTTTCAAAAACACAAATAATCTTAACCAACCCCAAACTTTTGAACAAGTGTATACTAGAGCTGCACGATTAATCGATTAAAAAGATCGCGATCTCGATTTAAACACCCACGCAATCTTATTTTTATATGACAATGATTCGTCTGTCTATTAAACCTTTGACAAAGTCATATTGGAACATTCAAATATGTGTTTTTGTGCTGCCGCTGACACATAGAGAGCAGTTATTATGTTTAGGTATGAAACAGCTTCACAAACAGTCGTTTCAGCCACACAGTATCATTTGTGTCTTACAATCATTCATATTATCACAGAAGTACTGGGATAAAATTTTATAATTCAGATAAAAATGGAGCAAATCATCTTTTAAAACGAATTTTCACTTCAAATAACGTTTGTTGATTACAATGTTGATTACATTGTTTCGCCACTAGGTGACGACAAGTGACTATTAAAAAATTATTTGTCATTGAATCATTCATTCAAGAGATTCTTCAAAAACGCAGATTCATTCAGTAATGGAACAAATTAAGTATTTATGAGTTTGTCATTAAATCATTAATTCGAACCTTTTAAAAAAATAATTTATTCAAATTAATGAAACATTTTTGAATAGAATGAGGCAATTCATATTTTGTCACAGCCTCTAGTAAATTGCATGTTATTTTGCTTAGTTCAAAATCATGGGAGAATTGCGGTCTCTGTTTGAAACACAAAAAAAAATCGCGATTCTCAATTTATCCAGAATCGAGCAGTTCTAGTGTATATTAGTAATTCAGAACAGAACATTTTACTTTTTATATATATTATGTATGTATGTATGTATGTATATATATATATATACACACATCCTGTCACTTTTAGGAAGTGGAATATGTCAAAGAGGAGGCCAAAATGGTTTATCTCCTGGAGTGTCTCCAGAAGACCCCACCGCCAGTACGTAGCTTCTTGCTCTTCTTAAACCACATCTGAGATCCCTACATAATATCTTCTAACAATCATACTTCCTATATTGTTTTTTAGGTATTAATATTCGCTGAGAAGAAAGCAGATGTAGATGCCATACACGAGTATCTTCTGCTGAAAGGTGTTGAGGCGGTGGCTATTCATGGAGGAAAAGGTGTGACATCATCCATCTCAATCTGTTTGTAGCACAGACACCATCAATCAGCTTTATGCATGCCGTTTCCCGCAGCTTCATGTGCTCTCCACCGGGTGTCAGCTTCTGCTGTGGTCTGGCTCCTATTATTGCACTGTGATGAGGGTGCTAAACAAGTGTTCAAACTATGTCAGAAGATTCGATCTTGCTTAATCTCAAAGCAGCAAAGTGTATATGGCTTCACTTGACCGTGATCATGCACTAACAATTGCTGTTTGTGTTACCTTAAATATATAATAGTTATGAATGTGATTGTTTGGCACAAAGGTAAACAGGACATACAGTTCAACCACACGCTCCTCAATAAACTGTATATGTGCTTTTCAGACCAGGAGGAGAGAACGAAAGCCATTGAGGCGTTCAAAGAGGAAAAGAAAGATGTTTTAGTGGCTACTGATGTTGCTTCGAAGGGTTTGGATTTTCCTGCCATCCAGCATGTTGTGAATTATGACATGCCAGAGGAGATTGAGAACTATGGTAGGTTTTCACATGATTGTTTTTTGGCATTATTGGTTTATTGTTAATGCTTATTGGTTTGTATACACTACCGTTCAAATGTTTGAGGTCAGTAAGATTTATGTATTTATTTACTTTCATTCCGCAGAACACAAAAAAGTGCCATTATAATGCTACAAAAGAGTTCTGTTTCAAATAAATGCTGTTGTTTTGAGCCTTCTATTCATCAAAAATATTAAGGAACACAACTGTTTTCAGCATTTATGGGAGGAAATGTTACTTGAGCAGCAAAAAACAATGATTTCTGAAGGATCATGAGACACCGAAGACTGGAGTAATGATGCTGAAAATTCAGATTTGCCATCACAGGAATAAATTACATTTTAAATTATATTACAATAGAATTCACAGTTAGGGCTGTGGATTTAACACTAATTTCTCAAATCAAATTGATGTGATTTATGATTAATTATTAATTAGATTAGATGAAGTAATTGGCACATCATGTAATTAATTAGATAGAAATAACTGCTGGACAGTTCAAAAAGTATCAGCATTTTAAAAAGAAATTGGCGTTTATTTTGAGCAATGATCGTACAAGCACTTCTTTTAGGGAAAATATTTGACAGAAGTTTATACAACCACTAAACCAACTTGTTAAGTGTCATTGCAAAAATGGTTCAGAAAAGTGAAGTTAGTTCTAAGAAAAACTCCTGCATATATATAACTGCAGATGCCAGATGTTTGAAATGTATGTAATGTTTATTTCACAGTCCACAGAATAGGCAGAACAGGTCGATCTGGAAAGACTGGAGTTGCCACAACATTTATCAACAAAGGATGTGGTAAGTTTTTTTTTTTTTTTTTAAATCTATAGATTTATCTTTGGTGTTTGTCTTTCCGTTTTTGTTTCTTGTCATCTTATTGTACTTCCTTCCGAGATTAAATTGCCACACACAATGGCTTATTTTTTCAGAGAATATACTGTATAGATTTGAGAATTGAGCATCAAAATCCTTTTTTTATAGATGAGTCTGTACTAATGGATCTGAAAGCTTTGTTGGTTGAAGCCAAGCAGAAGGTTCCTCCTGTGCTGCAGGTTCTCCAAACGGGAGACGAGACGATGCTGGATATTGGAGGTACAAATTATGTACTTATTGCTGAAACAAGCTTAAGTAGCCAGTTGAGCACATGCCCAAAATTATTGCAACATAATTGCACAAGAGGCTCTGCAGTGCTCAAAAGTACAAGATATTTACCTTTTATTTTTCCATCCTAGGAGAGAGAGGCTGTACGTTTTGTGGTGGTTTGGGCCACAGGATCACAGACTGTCCCAAACTGGAGGCCATGCAGACAAAACAGGTCACCAACATTGGCCGCAAGGACTATCTGGCCAACAGCTCCATGGATTTTTAATGCTGCTTGCTACTTTGCCATCAGATTTTTCCTTGAGAGAGGCTCCTGTGTCGTGTCTTGCGTCATTTTGTACAAAATGTATTATTCTTGGAACTGTACATTTGTTTATTCATTTCAGTTAAACTATTTCTTGTTTGTTGCAAAATGCAGTCAAAAAGCTTTGTGTAAGAAAAAAATGTTAAAGTTAGGATTTCCTAGAATTTTCAGTAGGTTTTGCTTCATAATGACATTGTCATGTATTAATGTAACAGCTGAATTGTTACAGTATTTGTCTGAAACCCACTCAGGCATGTTTTTGCCAGTTAATCTTTTTGTTTTTTGCTACACATCCAGTGTAAATAAATGGTCAGCTTATGCGCCCTCTTTATTTTATGATGCAAACTGCAATAAAATTCTTCTCTGACTTTGTATCTCTGGTTACATCTCTTTGCTATTTCCTGTTTACAACCAAGCTTGGGTGATTGTTAATAAAGGAACACGTCAAGGTAAAGTTTTCAACGTTGGAGGAAATGAGTGGAGACCATTTTTAGCCGCTTGCTGGTGAATGACGTGGCCCCATAATCTCACGGAAGCGCTTGCTTAATATCAAGTTTAGCATCATACACAGTCTCTCTCTCTCTTTTGTCACCTTCTGTAGAAAATAGAGGAACTGGAGCACTTCGAGGCAAACAAGCACAATGGATGTAATCTCTAAAGAGGGTCCGCTCTTTTTACAGGGGGTCAAGTTTGGGAAGGTGAGGTTGTTTACTGAAAAAAACATTTTACACTTAATTCAAGAGGGCATTTTGTGTATTTTTTTTATTTGTTATTTTATTTAATTCTAGTACTAGTACTACTATTTGATGTGCTAGTTCTTATGCTTTTTATAGTGTTTATATTAATAGTATATTTTATACTGTTTCCTGCTTAACTAGCTGAGTTTATTAACCAGATCAGGTCATGCGATCAACTTTTGTGGGAATAAAAGTCAGTTCATTTAAATGTCAGACAAATGCATCCATATATTTGTAGGATATTAGAATTAAATTTATTTGAGATGTAAAGATTACAGTTCACCAAGTGAGGCAAATTCTTACATTTCTCTTCCCTTCATGTCGTTCAAAACCTGCATTACTTTATTTTAAGATAAGATAAAGATATTTAAGATAAAGATATTTTAAGATATATATATATATATAATTTTTTTTTATTTTTTTTATTTTTTGGTCCATGCAATGGAAGCCAATGAGCTCCAGTGTTGTTTTCTCTACCAGCGTTCTTCAAAGTAACATTTGTGTTCCGCAGAAGAAAAAAGTCATACAGGTTTAGAACGACATGAGGCTGACAGAATTTTCATATGAACTATCCCTGTAATGTTTACAATTTATTAAAGATAAAGTAATGATATTTTGGTAGGCAAAATGTGGGACATACCATTGATAATCACAGTTATAAAAGCATTAAAACATCTCTTTAATTATTTACAACAAGCCTTGGGAATTATAGGTGGTCAGAAATCTTCAACTGTACATTATTAATATAGAAGGGAAGCGGCAGCTGGTTAACCACCTGGGGTGCTTCCATCTTCATGGTAGCGTTTAACGACCATGAATCATATATGGGAGATAAAACGAAGAACTGTTTCAGAACTTCTGCTCCCTCTGGCATGTTCTCCCAAATATCTAACCGGTCCCAGTGGAGGAGTACTGAACCAGAGAGTTTGATGTTAAACCCTTCCGAGTTATGCGCCGAAATAATTAATTTTCTTTACTCTGTCGTAGCCTCAATTAAAACTAACATCTCCCCTTGTTCCTGCAGAAGATATGGCGGAAATCCTGGCTGATTCTGTTCGAGCCCAGCCCTGCAGGTATCGGCCGGATGGAGCTGTATGACATGCGTGATAGAGGGGGACTGATAGGGTCCGCCATTGCGAGGCCTTCAGGGCTCAGGAAGACGGACAAACGGGTCATCCGCCTGACAGACTGTCTGAGCATCACTCCAGCCCCAGGAGAAAGCTGTCCCACAGAGTGCTCTGCCTTCTTTTTAAACACCACCTCATGCACCTACACCATCGCTGCTCCTGCCCAGGAGGACTGGATAACTGTTCTGTGCCAGCTAGCATTTCAGGTATGGAGGTTGGGTGATGTCCTGTCAAAACAAGTCAAGTCTTTATTTACAGTGCACTTTATACAATACAGCTTCACAGTAATAAACAGGGAAATAACAGAATCAATGATGCAAACTTCATCAAATATGAGACAAATTCAAATTCTGCTGCAAAGCAGCTTTACAAAGACAATAGTGTAATTATTCAGCTCAAATCAGTTCAGTGTTGATTCAGATCTATAAGTGTAAAATTCAACAAGTTTAATTCAACTATAAGCAGCTTTACAGAAGACAGTAGTGTCCTTATTCAGATCGAATCAGTTCAATGTTGATTCAATTCGGTATCAGTGTTGCAAATTTCTTTAATTCAGTTTGATTAAGCTATAAAGCAGCTCTACAGAAGACAATAGTGTCATCATTCAGATTTATTCAGTTTTGAGTTTTGTTCTCACCCTGTAGTGTAAGTGCAATCAAATCATTAATATTACTGAATATTAAGTCTATTTTAAACCCCAACTAAGCAATCCAAAGGTGGATTATGGATATGGGCAAACCCATATTTGGCAGACTTTTATTTGAATCAGCTTGCATTGCATTCAAGGAAGACATTTAATCAATTCATGCATTCCTTGGGAATCAGAGCCATGACCTTGGCATTGCTAGGACTTTCTTCTACCATATGAGCTACATGTGTCAAAGTCAAAATGAAATTAACAACAACAAAAAAAAAAGCCAGGTAAGAACAAGAATGTTGATTCAGGAACATGGAAGATGGAAAAAAGAAAACATTGTCCCTGTTCAATTCTGCCAAGATGTTGGATCCAGACTCTTTTCCAGATCCCATCAGTCCATTTTAATCCATTCTGATATCCAAAACCAGTCAACAGCAATTTGTCTGATACCATAAACTAGTTAACACTACATTTTGTCTCATATTCAATCTGCCAAGGAAGAGCAGAAAGCAAAAGACAAAGGTTTGGTGAAACAAGTTTATTGAATAATATGAGTTGCATCTTTCTCGTAACATAAAACAAGTCATAATGAAGGACATTTTCCCACTACTAAATTAACTAAAGTCAACATATATATGATGAACTTGAGGTACAGATTCACACAACTGCTAACCTGTCACAAAGGAAGTGTTGATAACCACACCTTCAAGTCTATGATTGCACAAGAGTGTACATAGACTTTTTTCTTTCTTTTTTTTTTTTTGCAAAGAATGATATGATAAGAAAAAGAGGAATTACTAAGGTATACTTATTATCAACTGTCTTACATTTTTAGAAGACCCAAAGAACCGAAGATACCAACAAAGATAAATACACGAAACCGGCTGTCAATGAACTCTACTCCACCTGGGGAGCAGGTGAGAATGGGCTCTGAAATACACTTGTCTACCAGCATAGCTGATCCAGAACTACAGTAACGATTATCTGCTGTTAAACTAGGTGTTACCAAACTGTTTGTTGCAGTTGAGCAAGACGGTGTGTCTTAATGGTGCAGATGTACATTTCCACCATTACTCAGTGTTTTTATTGAGGTCAGACATGTTTGTGGTCCTTTATCTACATAGATCTAAAAGAATAAGAGCACAAAATGGTCACTCTGAAAGATATTATTTGACAATCAGTCGACTGTCAATCGATTAAAACAATTTAATTAAATTCTTCACAAAAAATGGCATATATCAATATATATAGTGAAAGCTTTTAGTAATTTTCTACAATTAAGAAAATAAATAGGCTAGTTTCTCAATTTAGATAACTATTTCATATTGATTCAATTTATAGTGTTTAGATTCAAGTTTGTGTTCAGTTTAAGTTTTTGTCTGTTTTTTACATACAGACAGACATCTTTGGTGTTGCATCATATTTTACGGTTTGCTTTTTCAGCTTCTGTATTTTAATATTTTTTAGAAGAAAGTAGTTTGAGGGTTTATCTTCTTCCTCATAGAAAAATATTAGGTAGTGCATACTTAGTTTTTAATATTCTTAGTATTACAATGCTCACCCAGTAGTGTTAAATAACAGATGCTTTTTTGCAAAGTTACTTTTTTTAGTAAATGATTAGAGGTTGAGTTTTAGAGAAACCGTTCATTATCAAGCTGATTTGTAACACAGATAACGGTAATGCTTTGGAACACAAAGTAACTTGGGAAATTCCCATTTAAAATCATTCCGGTCACGGTGTGAGAACATAATTTTGTTCTTATCTGAAATGTGTTTTTGAGCCACACAGATGTACTGCTGTGAGGCAATAAATGTATAAAAGTATTCAAGGTTTTAGGAACTAAGGACCCTTGGTACATTTAGTACAGTTACATCACTGTACCTAAACAGTTGTTAGTAGTTTTATTTGTAATAAACTGAAAAAAAATCTATATAGACTTGAAGGAGTTGAAGGAATAAAGAATTCATACATATATAAATATTCATATGTATGTGGTAAATATGTAACTAGAACCAAACTTGGACTGCAGATTAAAAATAATAAATACTTTATAATTGTTGACGTGATCAACTAGGCTGATTGTTAATAGACTTTTTAGTTAGTCTATAAATAAGAAAATAAATAATTTCTCAGTTCAGATCAATATTTCATGCCTATGTACTCTGCTTATTTATTTAGTAAGTAGTATACTATGTAACTAGTAAAAAGTAGTTTAGCCAGATGAAAAAAAGAATGTCTTTTCAACCTTTTGTATATAATGATGCAAAAAATGTGAAGATGTTTTGGGGAAAATTGGGTATACAGCCTTATTTATTTATTTACATTTTTAATATTCTAATATTCAAGAGTCAAGATTGTTTCTAGACCAACCATTCATGTAATCAGTTTCACTGCTTCATAATTTTTGGCCACCGCTGTAAAATATATTTTGTTCTGTCTTCATTTTAAATTCAAGAGGTCTGACCTCAGCGATTGAGGGTTTGTCCAGAGAGACCTCGTTTTGATGTTTTTATGAATTCCACCCCGCAGGCCAGTACCAGGTGACAGTGCAGAGCACAGATGCGTCTCAAAGGTGCAGGATGTCTGGGTCATACCTGCTGTCTTCTGAGAAAGAGGCTATTTGTCTTCTGGACCTTAAGACCGGACAGGCCATCTACCATTGGCCCTACAAGCTCCTCAGGAGATTTGGCCAAGTCAAGGTGCTTCATGAGAGATAAAAATTATGCAACCCCCTGACTCAACATGTTTGCTCATATAAACCAGTTAATGTAAAACTATATATACACTATACTGTTCAAAAGTTTGGGATAGATTAATTTTTAAAAATGTTTTTGTCTCTTGTGATGACCAAAGCTGCATGCTAATTAGCTGAAAAATACAGTAAAACAGTAATCTAAATATTACTAATATTTTAATATATTTTAAAATGTAAAATTTATTCCTGTGATGGCAAAGCTGAATTTT